CTGCGGGTCAGGGAGGCCGGGACGCGGGGACCCTTCGAGGCGAGATGCGCATCCGCAGGGGCTGGGGGAAGCCAGCGGCGCCGCCCCGCTGGAGCCACGGGGCTGACGCCTCACCCGGGCCCCACGCCCGTGCCCAGCCCCGCGGGCAGCTGCCTGCCGAGTGCCGTCTGCCCCAGGCTGCGCCCTCCACTCGGCCGCTCCCGGCCATCTGAACCTCATTCTTCTGTGACCCCCCACACCCCTTCCCCCTGAGGAGCTGTCTTGTCACTTAAATTTCTGCACCCCAAGAACTGACCCTAAGAGGGCAGAGGGCAAGTTCCTCCTTCCAGCGGAGATCAGCCAGGGCGCAGGCAGAAGCCGGGACCCCTCCCCCCGAAAGTCCTGCCCGCCCGGCCTCCGGGGAGCCCAGCGAGCCCAACTCCCACCAGGAGGCCCCGCGTCCCCCCCCCCGCCCCCCTCGCTGGCCGCAGGGAGGGTGCGACGCGCCGGGGCACCCTGCGTGTCCCCCCAGGCCAGCTGGGCAGGGCTCCCCGCGGCCCGGCCCCAGGACTCACCACTGGTCCCGGGAGAAGGAGGCGATGAAGTGGATGCCGGGGGGCAGGCGAGCCATTTACGTCTCACGGACCACGGGCTCCGGCCACAGAACCCGGCGCTTTGGACAGAGGCCGCTCCTGGCGCGTCTCCGGCCCCAGGCCCACGCGGCCGGGAGCGGGGTGCTGTCTTCTGGGGCGCACGCCGGCTCTGGGAGGAGACGGGGGCTGAGAAGCGGGTTCCGACCGGCCCACGGACCCCGCCGTGGCCTCCCTGCGGGCGGGTGTGTCAGCCCGGCGGCGTCCATGCCAGGACCAATGCGTTTCCCGTGCCCACCTCCCTCTGGGCTCTGGCCAGCGGTCAGCCGTCCGCTCAGCACGGGTCGGCCCGGCCCAGCTCCCTCGAAGCCCGAGAGCTGGGGCGCGGCTGCACCCCAGGGCGCCCGACAGAGACTGGCCTCCCGCCGCGTGGCGCTGGGGTGCAGCCGTGACCGGGGCCCCGGTGGCCAGGCGGCCTCTCACTGGCTTCGCCTGAACGCACCTCCTGCCCGAGGGTGGCGAGAACAGCCGCTCCCGCCCTCCGCCTTGGCGCCTCAGAGGCCCTAGGGAAGGGCCCTTTGTGAAGTCAGAGGCGGGGAGGCCCGGAGTCCGGGGAGCCCAGCTCTCGGGGTTCCCTGCACTGCAACTTCCGGCCGGGGACGGGGCTCCGCGGGGCGCCACGCCGGCGCACGCGGACAGGGCTTCTGGGGCTCACGCCTAAGACCAGCGGCGCTCTGGAGTAGCCGTCTGTCTGCTCCAGGGCTTCAACATCCTCCTGACGTCCCGCCTGGCTCAGAGCTCTGACCCCAGGGGCCCTGCATGCCGCCGCCTCGCAGGAAGAGGGCCCGCGGCACCCCGGCCGTCCAGGGAGCTTTCCGGAAGGGCTTCCTTCAGTGCTCCCCTCGATCCGACGGACTCTGGGCCCGGCCCCAGCCCTCGCGGGCAGGGAGGCCTGTGCCAGCCAGAGTCGGCCTTTGCCCCTGCCAGGTGGCCCGGCACCCGCACCCCACCTGGGCCTTAACCAGGATGTGGCCTCAGCGGTGCGCTCCCCGGGGGACACCCCACCCGCGGCCCGGGGCCGGCCTCCCTGGGGCCCTCTGCTGGCTGACCCCAAGCGGGCAGGAGCACACCCACAGGGGAGCAAGCCCAGCGCCGGAACCCTCGGCCGTCAGCCTGCATGCAGAGGCCCACCGGCCGCAGCTGGCACCGCAGCTGGCACCCCGCCGCTGGCCCGGCTCACTGCACAGGAGATGCCATGGCCAAGGGGCTCCACAGCCCCGGGAAGCCTGGACTTAAGCCACCAGTCTGCCCTCCACGAGCGGCCCTGTGGCCTGAAGGGCCACGAGACAGTTCCGCAAGGTGCCTCGGAGCCAGGGCCCCGGCCTGGCTGCCCAGGTCCGCCCGCCACAGGCCACCTCGTCCCCACACCGCGTCGAGGCGCTGGCCACGACGCTCCTGCCTCTGCGGAACCGACGGCCGAGACAGCGCGGGGAAGGGAGAGCCAGCGGGCACTGGACGGGCCGCACAGCAGCCGTGGTTTCCTCCCGCGTGGAGGGGTGGAAGCAGACGCTAAACATGCCCACGGCAGGTGCAGGTGGACGTGTGGGGACCCGACTTCCCCTTGGGGTGCTCAGCCCTGAATTTATGGGGGCCCCTTCCTCCAAGGCCGGGCAGCACCACTGAGTGTCCGGCGCCGGCGCTCGGATGCTGAGGGATCGTGGCCCCCTCCCCTCAGGGGCTGGCCCCCTGCAGGACAGATCAGGTTGGTCCAGTTCCCCGCTGGCCCCTCCCTCCGAAGCCAGGCGGCCCAGCCCGAGAGGGCTGCACCCAGGGCTTGGCCGTGGCCTGCATGCCGGAAGAGGCCACGTATGAGAACCCCTCGCAGGTGCGCCGCAGGCCCGGCGGCTCTGGGAACGCCCGGGGCGCCCCCGCTGCCCACTGTCCAGCTACTGCTGGCCTCAGGCCACCTGGGGGCCGCATCCACCAAGTCTGCGGGACCCTGGGGCCCAGCACAGGGTGCAGCCTGGAGCGGGAAACGGGGAGCAGCAGGTAGCGGGCCTGAGGGGCACCCCGTGCCACACTGGGGAGTGCTAGGCTGGGGTACTGGGGGCGTGGCTGCTCCCCGAATCAGAAGCAGCTGCTTGAAGCTGAGGTGCTTAGAGGGGTGCTGAGGCAGGTGGGAGGAAGCGCACCCCAAGTCTCCACACATTCTCTTTGTCCCTTGCTGAGCGAGAGAGGCCCGTGCCCCTCCCCAGCTCCAGGTGCTCTGGGGGCGCCCTCTGGCCTGCCCCTCCAACGCCAAAGGGGCCTGCGACACCGAACCGGACACCAGGAAGCAGGCGGCCACTGCGCGGGGTGCCCTGGCCGGCCCGGGGGCCGGGGCCCAGCCGCCCTCGCACCCTGTGGTAACTTCAGTCCTCGGGCGGAGGGGGGCGGTGGGGGGGCCCTGGGCAGGAAGGCCAGGCTGCCCCCCAGAAGTCAAACCTGAGGGGTGGTTCCAGGTCCTGGCTCAGAGGCAAATCCCGAGGAGGGTCGCTGCAGGGCGGCCCGCTGGGGGCGAGGCCGAGACAAAAGAGCGGGGCGCGGGGTGTCCCCGGCGGACGCCCAGGAAACCCAGAAGGTCGCTGTCACCACCGCAGGGCGCTCGGGGCGCGCGGCGGCGCCGACAAACAAGCCGAGGCCCAGGGCCGCTCTGCGGGCCCCTCCCCGCG